TATGTTTCGTGTCCCAAAGTATTTTCCAGATTTCTTAAAAGTAGAAATTGTACTCTGTTCTTAATTATCATCATCTTATTGAATAATACAGTGCTGTTCAGTAAGTGATTATTAAGTGAATGGGCAAAGGTGTGGTTACTGTTCATAAAGAAAGAATCAGCAAATCTGTGCATGATAGTCTTCATGTCCTTTTTGTCAAAAAGAAAATCTAAGTAAATACTTTACATACTGATCAGCCTTATTGTAATATGTATTAATTTTGAATATACTGATACAATAAACTTTTGAAATTTCTTAACTCCTGAAATCCAAATATGCTTTATCATTTCATTTAATACTTTATTGCAGAAGTATAGCTAAGTTAAACATTTTTAATAGCCATAAACTTTTAGCTATACTTTTAATGTATTAACTCCCCTTCATAATTACCTAAACAACAGTATAATATGCGAAAGGACCTTGAAATAAAAAAAAAAAAAAGACAGAAGGAAACATTAATGGATATGTGAGGTGGTGTCCTTATATTTCTCCTGCTGCATTTAGAGAATATTATATTACTAATTTTGTAGAAGGCTAAACATCAACTCCAGTGATACAGCATATTAAACTTAGAGGCTGGTCTTCGAACCGGTTCTTCCTGGTTCATTCATTGCCGAGGAAGCGAAACTGGAACAGACCTGAATTATTAAAATTTGGGTGAACTGGAATGATAACTGGAACGGGAAAAATTACAGGTGGAAGCCCTGCTAGAAACCTCATCTCCCTCTTTAGAAAACAAGGGCAGTGTACACATTGCATAACCACTAAATCTCTTGCCTGTCAGATTTTGAGCAGAGTTGGAAACAAGTGCCCCGCTCAAAGATGGCGGCTGACTGCACCACTTTAAATGTGTGGCGCTCACTTAGGTCCTGCCGGTAATCCAGTCTCACGCATCAGCCTCCTGAAAGAGCTCACTATACCTCTTCCAAGTCTCCCATTCCAGGGCTTCGACCCGTAGTTTTTCCTGTTCCGGTTCACCCAAATTGTAAAAATTCAGGTCTGTTCCAATTTTGCTTTGTCAGCCATGACTGAACCAGTTTGAACTGGTTCAGAGCCCTGTTTAGAGATCAAATACTGTGCGCGCCTGTCTAATTCAGATTCCACTGACATCACTATATGCTTTTATTTACATTATTTAATACTGAATCTCAAACTGAATTTCTGGGACACTTAAATAGTGGAATTCAATTGGATTACATCTGCAATTTGTTTTTTGTTATATAGGAAGTTTCCTCTATAAATCTGCTGTATAGCCCCAGTTATCTCATGACTATTTGAATCTCCATTTGATCCGGATAATTTTCCAAGGAAAACATAGAAAGTGACATTTCTAGCTGTTTCTGGCAGGGCACCATTAATATAAGTTTAATGATACTTAAAGGACTCTTCTGTTATCCGGTGTTAATTAGTATGCAGTGTGTTAACTGCCCCATAACATCTGTGAGGTGTACTATAACTATATAACTATTTGATCTCTTTGAGAGAGCTCTACTGGTTAATCAAGGTGGTAGCAGTGGTAGTAGTGATGGTAGAAGTAGAGGTAGTGGTAGTTGTAGCAATGGGTATGGTGGTAGCAGCACCAGCACCTAACTTTTACGTAACATTGGGTAGCTTAGAAAGTTCTTTTACATACATGATTTGTTTAGATCTGTTTGATGATCTCATAAAACATCTAAGGAAAACCTGTAAAGCTCCTTAAAGCTTGCATTTATATATAATTCTAATTTTACGCTGAACTTAAAGGGCAGTGACCACTCCCACTCCTTTGCCCATCCACAAGGCTTGGAGTCTCAGAAGATTAGCTGGATATCACCAGAACTTTGGCTTTGTTTTTTCAATCATTTAGGCAAAAACTCTTAACTTTTTGACCCACAAAGGCAATATCATGCTTTGCTGAAGGACAGTTGGGGACGGGGATGGGGGAAGGTTGTACGTATGTATAGAGGTCAACACAATTCCTTGTCCCCAATTCCTAAACCCCAAAAAGCTCTGAAAACTGAAAGGTTGTTCGTACTTTATTTGGGTAAAACTTGCCATAACTTACTCTCATGACCAAAAACCTGACCTAAACTAACAAGACTATAGTTTTTATTTTCCTTCTTGGTATAAATATTCATATGTTTTGCTGCAGGAACATCAGTATATGTGATTATAGGGTATTGCTTCTGACATAACTTATTTAATATTTGTTACATGTATCATTTCTGTAGTATTTTTCTAAAATAAAGAAGTGTGGAACGGTACTTAATTTTCTAAAAATAGAGCTAGTATGATACTGAACATAAAATAGGTATGCAGTATTTGTTAGTGTTTGTTTTTGGGTATTAAAGGTTTTTTATTTTCTTAAACTTTTTTTCCTCCCAGATACTTACCTTCAGCAAATCCTAATGATAACAGAACTAGTTCC